AGAAGAAGAAAAAAGTAATAATATTCGTTTTAAGTTATTTGTCTTAAAATATTCGAATATTTTTTAAAATTTTAAATATTTGTAATATTTTGAACAAACACGAATTATTATAATATTTATAAAGATATCGCATATATATTCAAGTATCCGATATCCGAATATATTCAAATATCGGAATTCGGAATCATTTTTATTTCCCAAAATTTTCCGCTTAAGATCGGTTTTCGAAACGAATGAATCTAAGTTATATATATGTGTGACGAATGGGAATTCGGAATCCCTCAATTTTAGATCAATTACGGAGGGCGCCATAAAAAACTTAAAAATAGAAGTAGTTCTAAAGTTAGTGGCAAAATTGGCGGGAAACTTATAGGGTGAATACTCTGCAAATGCCGGTTAAACTGGTATTTTTAAAATTATTTTTTTGTGTCGCCCTCGGTAAAAGATTTAAAATTGAGAGATTCCAAATTCCCAATTCCGAATTCCCAATTCCGAATTCCGAATTCCGGATTCCCATACGACATGCATTTTGATTTTTTTTAAAAAAAAAGCAAAAAAGATGTTTTGAAATCGATTTTTTACATTTGTTTTATTTATCACTTATATAGATATATATTTTTTAAAAAAAACGGATGCTAATAAATCGAATTAAAATATATTATTTATACATTTTTTTTTTAAGGTTTCCTAAATTTAGCATGATTTAGTCTATGATCTTGCGGGTAAGACCCGGGTTGCTAATCAATCGTTAATATTAATGTAAAGATTATCGGGTATCTACTAACATCAAAAATCCGATGATGTATGTATAACTGCTAGAGTGGCGGATTCGTGAATTAAAAGTGACCATACTTAGGAGCTGTTTCTACTCCTTAGAAGAACCAAGAGTACCTCTGACCCTAAAGGGTGGGAGATATGTCCTAATACTAGTGTGACATCAGGATCGATATTACTAGCGAGGTCCCCTATTAAAATTAGGAGTATTAATTAGGCATTAAGAGGAGTGATGTAATGTATTCTTCTAATTACTATAGTGCGGAGTGATACACCCCCATAAGTTATACCCCTATGTCATTTTGATTCCATCTCCTCCTTGCTTACCTTGGTTATTGGGGTTGGATTGCGGTTTGCACGTTACACGAATCTACATTCATGTCATATAATCACGTGTGCAAAACCACAAAATGGCGGCTACAATTGACTTCTATGTACGGACACCTTTAAATGTATTTTAATGAATGAATCTCCAATCTAGTTGGAGGTACTCAAGAGTTGTTATTAATATTTCGATGTTACCAGCCGTTTTGGCTTTTCTATAACAAAATTTTTATATATTTTGTCGCTTATATATATATATATAATACTTTTGTTTTTTAAGAACAAATAAATAAATTTTTTTTTAAAAATATATGATTTTTAAATTTTTATCGCGCGCGTTATGATGACACGGAGGCGGAAGCGGAGACGGAGGATGAATACAGGGACATTTTTGACCTTGGCATCGCGCGGAATAATTTTTTGTCTTCGTCATCCAGCGGGGATATCGAATCGAGGGCAGGCATCACGGCGAAGAATTCCTTAAATGCCATCCCTTTTCGTTTAAAACAAATTCTAAATGTCGTATATATTCATTTAATTACGAACGACCCAATGACATTATAATAATACCTAGACTGACGATGAATTTATTAAAAGTGTGTACACCAATTAAAAAACAGCTGGGGAAGCCATTTTGATTATCTTCATCATTATTAAAAATTTTACCTACGAGAGGCCATTTTATTTATAAGTCTGACGCAGACTGATCACCGAGATAATAAGGAAGCAAATCGTCAATTTAACGAGAATAATTACTATTCGGGTTACAAAAATGGCGAGTCCAGCTGATTTGCATTCAACGACGCTTTCGAATGCACTATTATGAACGCGTCGTCAGTCTAGGTTTTATTATATGTTTATTGGAACGACCTTAATAATGATATTATATTTGGTCGAAAAAAAAAATGTAGATAATATGGAGGAAAATTAGATGAAACACAAATATTCCCCTTTTCCCGCTTACATCAACAATTATTCGGTATCGGTTCGGATATTTTTAACCGATCTATTTGGTTTTTAAATTTTTTTTTTATTAAGCTTGTTGTGTATAGAGTAGAGATAGAACCGACCCGGCTTTGTCAAGATTTTTCGTTCCGACTCAGCCCGGAAATATTTTGCTCTCAAATTGCCCCTTCCCCTCCAGCCGGAAAATCTTTTTCTTTCGGGGCTTCCGGCCAAATTTTCAATCAAAAATTAGGTTAATGATGCTTACTACCAAGTGAATGTATGGAAATATTCTAAATACCAACATAATTTGCTAAATACCGACCAAAATTTATTAAAATATAATAAGACTTATTATTTAATATATTAATATGGAATCACGTGGTCGAGTCCGGCCTCCTATATATCATACCCCCAAGGATGGAACCACCAAGTTAGAATAAGAAAAAAAAACATAATTATTATCAGGATTCGAACCCGTGACCATGGGATGAGTAAGCAAAGCTCTAACCGACTAGGCCATAGATGCTTTCCAAAAATTACGATTTTTCAAATATATATTATAAATATATTTGGTAGTGCCTATCCAAATGAAAATAAACAAAATTCAAATTTGATAGATGGTACCTTAAGGTACCAAGCATCATTAACCCAAAAATTATGGTAATTTTTTAAAAAAAAAGCTCAAAATTACCCCGTTAGTTTTTATTTAACATTTACACTAGTATGATAATACTAATTGATCACATTCGCGCTTGTCTTTAACCCCCCCCCCCCATTTAATGTCAACTCATTTCATATGGTATCTGACGCGTTTTCTTTAGGAATGAGGATGTCGAAATCTTCAACTGATTCATATGGGTCGCAAAACGGTACATTAAAGATTTGAAGCCTGGCTCGGGCCGCTAAGAATTTTTGCGCAAGGTTACCAGGCTCGATCCGTTAACTGTTTTTTAAAAAGAATGCGCCTCCCAGTCTGACATTTTGTAAAAAAAATTGTCCAACCCGAACCCGTTAATGTTTCACAAAATGTCCGCCTGTAACGAATTATCAGATATTTTTTTTTCCCACAATGTCAATTAAAGGCACTTTTATTTCTTCTCTATAAACTAACTATTTCTAGCAAACAACATCTTTTTTATAAATCAATCGTGATTGACATCTAATGTGACATTATTAATGATTGTCAAATTGTTTAATTTTTTTTTATTAGTTTTACTATATTATTATTTATAGATTTATCTATTTACTTAGGACATTACATAAAAATACGAAAAAAAGAAATAATCTAACTGGTTAAATTTATTTTCAAATAATATTTATTAAAAAATAAAAAAAATATATATATAGTCTTTCGAAATTACATCCTCTACAAAAATATAAAATAAAATAAATTTTAATGCCCTGGCTAACCTATTAAAATTTTGCCAAAAAAATGAAAGATTAGCCAGGCTCTGTTCGATATTTTATATATATATTTGTTCCCGCACTGTCCCGAAAATTTTCGCGCCAATTTTCCGGTCCGAACCGTTAAATCTGTTTCTCAGCCCGGGCCCGGGCTGGATTTAGCGGATCTCTAAGTCTACATTATGTCAAAAAAAATACATTTTCGGAGGAAAAAGATGAGAATTTTCCACGAATTCCAACCCCCCCCCCCCCCCCGACATGTATATGTATGTATATATATTAAATAAATTTTACAGTTTTTTCCTATGAACAGAAACGAGAGCCCTATCACGAGTAATGATACGAAAACGATGGGTAGCGCTATGCTGAGATTCTTGACGAGGTTCTGAGTATAGGTTCTGAGTAAGCATCCATCTTGTACACAAATTTTTCAAAATAAAGTTAATGGCCTTTACATCTGCAATTCATGTTACTTTCCTAAATAATTCTTCCCTAGAGGATTCAAAAATATCCAAAAAAAAATTTAAATTTCACAAAAATTTTCCAAACTTTTTTTAAAAATAAAAAAATTTTTTAAGTAATAAATTCGTTTAATTTTTTTTTTAAATTTGCGAAAGTTTCAAAACTTTTGATTTTTTGTCCTATATCCACTCAAGAATCTACAAATGCTCGGCGCGTTGATTTATCGCGTGGAAGAATTTTGTATATATATATGTGTCGTATGAGGATTCGGAATCCGGGCGGATTCGTAATCCGGGCGGATTCGTAATCTTCGTGGCGGATTCGGAATCTCTTGATTTTAAATCCTTTACTGAGGGCGATTCAAAAAATTTTAAAATATTCTAGCATGTGAATTTCAGCCAATTTCGGCCGTAGCCATTTTAGCATTTTTAAATTTAATTAGAAGTATTCTAAAGTTCGTGGCATGATCGGCTGAGATTCATAGGGTAGCTAGAATATCGGATTTTAAAATTTTTTAAATCGCCCTCGGTAAAGGGTTTAAAATCCAGTGATTCCGAATCCTCGCGGATACCGAATCCCCATACGACATATTTGATTGATAAATTCTGACATTTAGATGGAAGTGATAATCCGTAAAGTTCTAGTGATTTTGATTTAACCACTCCCAGTTTATTTTGATGTTTTCAACAACACGTATTTTGGTTTTAAGGGCCGTTTTTTTATTTAAAATTTAATTTTAAAAATGGCCGTCGCCGGGCTAGGGCAACCTTAGTAGAGAGATTGTTAAACCGGTCAGGGTCGGGTTAAAAAAAATTCCGGACCGAGAAAAAAACTGCAATCTCACGAGGCCCGAACCCGAGAATTTTGTCGATTTGCAGACCACTCTATTTAATAATGTTTTTTTTTTAAATGAATATATATATTGGTTATTTTATCCATGCTTTGTGAAGATCAATCATTTTTGATGAAAAATTATTAAAAGTATCGACGTCAACAGATACTTTATATGACTTAACTTGAATAATTTATCGTTTTTTAAAGTAAAAATAAAATACAGCTGTATAATATATGCGAACAAATCGAACGCTTCAAACGCGGCATTTCAAAACGCAAAACGAAAACGCGTGCCTTAAAACGCTAAATTTGTGCGCCTTGTTCGGAACATCCTCCAAAAAAAATGGAAGTTTCCGGTTTGATCTTTTTGCAGCTTTCAGATCTTTGATAGATTAAGGCAAAGTCTTTTAAAAATAAATTAACTATGAATCAGGCCCAGGCTAACGTCTTGATAATCGAATATAACCGCTTCCTCTATGACGTAATCGAAATCGACCTTCAAATTTTCCACGCAAATATCTTTCACCGCTTCCGCTATGTCCCCGTAAAGCTCTTTCATGTATATGTTCACCGAGAACGTGTTCCTTAGCGGACTGATTAGATTGAAAAAATTGTTTATATAGTAAATCTTCAAGACATATATATGTCATATGGGGATTCAGAATCCATGGGGATTCGGAATCTCTCAATTATAAATCCTTTACCGAGGGCGATTTAAAAAAATTTTAAAATCCGATTAAACCGGAAATGTATTCTAGCATGTCTAGAGTATTCACCCTAGAAATTTCAGCCAATTATGCTACGAACTTTGAGAACTACTTCTAATTCATATCAATTTTTATATGGATTTTTCATATTAAATATTTTTTAAAAAATACTAAAATGTCTGTAGCCTAAATTAGCCGGAATTTATAGGGTATAAATACTCTGCACATGCTAGAATCCATTTCCGGTTATATCGAATTTTAAAATTTTATTAAAATCGCCCAGATTCCGAATTCCCGCGGATTCTGAATCCCCATACGACATATATAATATATCTATGCTACATATTATGCACACAATAAAACTTGTTCTACATTAGGGGCTTCCTGGTGATTTGGATAACTCTCTTAAATTTGACCAAAAGGTCGCAATCAAATTCCCAAAACTTTTTTCGAGTTGTGACAAAGAATTTTTGGTCAAAAAAAAACTGGGCCCAAATTAGACAGGTTTTATTGTGATATAAATTTTATTTTTACTCGTAACTTAACCAGAGCGACACGTAATTTTTGGGTACGTTATTACGCAACAGAACGTCCAACTAGGAAAATAAAAAAAAATAATTTAATTTATTTAAATATTATTAGAATAGTAAAAGAATGTCTTGAGAGGTTTTAGCAAATTCAGTATTGACCCTGGTTTATTTTGCCAAGATCCTAATTTTCCTGGAATCATATTTAGCATGTTATAGAGTATATCTACCATCTATCCTATAATATTGAGCCAATTATCGTCATCTTTTTTTTTTTTAAATTTACTTCATCAAAAGATATTGTGCGGTATTCAGAGTTTAGGATTTCTAAATATAGCAGAAAAGAATACGATTTCGAGAATAATGAGATCTTTCTATAATTAAAGAGTTTAGGATTTCTAAATATAGCAGAAAAGAATACGATTTCGAGAATAATGAGATCTTTCTATAATTAAAGGGTTTAGGATTTCTAAATATAGCAGAAAAGAATACGATTTCGAGAATAATGAGATCTTTCTATAATTAAAGAGTTTAGGATTTCTAAATATAGCAGAAAAGAATACGATTTCGAGAATAATGAGATCTTTCTATAATTAAAGAGTTTAGGATTTCTAAATATAGCAGAAAAGAATACGATTTCGAGAATAATGAGATCTTTCTATAATTAAAGGGTTTAGGATTTCTAAATATAGCAGAAAAGAATACGATTTCGAGAATAATGAGATCTTTCTATAATTAAAGAGTTTAGGATTTCTAAATATAGCAGAAAAGAATACGATTTCGAGAATAATGAGATCTTTCTATAATTAAAGAGTTTAGGATTTCTAAATATAGCAGAAAAGAATACGATTTCGAGAATAATGAGATCTTTCTATAATTAAAGAGTTTAGGATTTCTAAATATAGCAGAAAAGAATACGATTTCGAGAATAATGAGATCTTTCTATAATTAAAGAGAGACCTAACGGTACAAACGGTTTAACATTTCAAATATTTGGTGAAAGACCACGAGTGTCGCTAAAACCCCCTAATGACGTAATGCACATAAATTGAGCTGATTCTAAAATAGAATCGGATATCGGATAGTTGCATTACTCGTATTTCCTATTCGATAACTTAAATGAATCGAACATTCACTATTCGCTTTCGATACAATACAATACATTTGTTCTGAATAAATTGAGCCGATCCTAATTTCAGAAGAGATTTTATTTTTTTTTTCGTATCTGGCTCAATCGACATTATAATGATACCATACCTAGACTGACGATGCATTCATTAAAAGGTGTACGCATCAATGAGAAAAACAGCTGAGGACGCCATTTTTATTACCCGTATCCAATTTATTCCTATATTCTGACGTCATCGAGATAATATAAGGAAGGCAAGCTATCAATTTAATAGTATAATGACTATACGGGTTATCAAAATGGCGGTTCCAGCTGATTAATTTTTTAGGTTTTCTTTGCCAACTATTCTTCTTCCTTTTTCTGCAAAATGTATAGAGAGTGTAGCGATACTATAAATAAAATGGAGTCTATATAAAAAAAAAATTTTTTTTAAAATCTTAATTGGAAAAAAAACCGATCTTTCAAATTGCACTCTCATGATTTCGCGCCCTTCCTCGTTAGATTCTAAGTAATAAGTCAGCTGCGAAAATTTGAAATCCGCCCTGTAGACGCAGTTGTACTCGGAAGTTTCTGAATTGTATATATAAAATTTATTTTACTATTTACTACTAAGAGGTCCACAAAGAAGCCCAAGCAAGGGCTAGTTTTGGAAAACTCTTAAAAAAAATTTGCGGGAGTTTTCCGGTCCGCCTCGACCCGTTAAGTTAAATTTATCGGAACCGGGCTTTGCAGATTTCTGATCGCTTCTTTATAGTTATGTAATCGCGCTTAGCCTCGACCTTTTACTTTTTTTTTCCTTGGTGAATATTATAGTTAAACACTACTAAAAACAGAGTTTTAAAGATGCTCTCCAAAAAAATAATGATTTTTTTTTTCTTCCTTTTTTTAAATCCTAATTTATTCTTTCTTTTCTTATTTATTCTTTCTTTTCTTAAATCCTGTAATTTATTCTATTCTTTTTATCTTTATTATTCTAAATTTTCCTTCCAACTTAGTATAATATTTTATGTCGTTTAGCTACGATATTCAAGGGTAATAAACCTGGAAGACACGTGAAGAAACCCATTTGTAAAAAGTTGTCCTTGCACTGGCAAATGGAGATAGTGGAGCAATGGCTATACGCGACGGTGGAACTACATTCTTGGGAGATTTTGCAATTATCGCCTAATTTTAAACCTTTCGCGAATATCGAAAATTTTATATATATTATGGTCACTAACCTTTTTTATACGCATCTCCATCCCAAAATCAGCCAATCATAACGAACTAAGTAATTTTTTTTTTACTTTAAACGCTAATTTTAAAATTTGTTGATAACTAACACTTTGGGTCAATTTCGTTATTTTGAGCGGGAATTGATAGAACTAGTTTAGAGGCCGCACATTAACGGGAGGATTTATCAATTTAAATCACATATTTGTCATCATGGGGTAGAAAAAACCGGGGCAGATGACCCGATCAGGGCTAGACAGGTCACCTTTTAAAAAAAATTGTCCATAACTACCGTACCCATTCTATATTTCTGGAATATTCTATAATATCGATAGACACCTGCCACCATATTCTTTGAGTTAATCACTTTTTTTATAAGTATCGATTTTGTCCCAGCACAAGTCCCAACCATTGAATTTAGCCAAATCATCTTGTAGGAAATTCCTATCTTTATACAAGTGGATTTCCCGCCATATAATGGAACCATTTTTTATTTAGTGTTTAGAGAGACAAGGGGGAAAGGGGGGGGGGAGGAAATAAACAAATTGATCTTAGTTCCTTGATATATTTTTTTACCTTTTGAGCATTTGTCGCCGCGGAGGAAATACAATGGCGGGCACAGGCAAACGGCATCGACACAATAGTTGCTGCTGCATTGTACCGGATTTTGACACGAATCATTTATATTCTTTTCTATATATAATAAGGTAATATAGAAATCAAAATCTTTCTTTCTCTTCTTTCTTCTTTCTTTCTTTCTTTCTTTCTTTCTTTCTTTTACTAGTATCTTCTAAATATGAAAAGCTAGATAATTTCCATTAAATCTTGCTTATTTAAAATCAAGATCAGAAGATATGAGTCGAAAACCTCCAATCAAACGCTTTATAAAAAAATGGCTATAACAAGATAGGGGTAAAAAAATACATTAAACTAAGCCTCTGATATTATTTAATTCAAAAAAAGAATCAAACCAACCCCGGGGATTCAGTTTTTGCCAAGGAATATCGTAATTGTAAAAAAAATTCTCATTTACTTTTATGGCACTTTCCTTGTGACAAGTACGCTATACTTTTACAAATGCAGACTTTTCGGTGGGGACAGCATTCGCTGAATTCCGATACCGTTAAGCATTTCGCGTCATTCATGCACGGCTCATTTAGCCCCGATCCTACATACATATTTTATTTTTTTTTGTTAAAATATAATTTAACCTTTAGTTTGCTAAACATTTACTATAACTACCATACAAACCCCCTCATTCACCTGTTAACGCGAATTTCCGGCTAGGGAACACAAAACGATGGCGTATTTGTGTTCTTCGCCGCTAATTCGCGTCAGCTGGGAATGTGGGGGTTAGCATATTTAAAAAAAATAATGATTGATTGAAGAGAAGATCTTTGATTTTGTCCTGAAAACGTTATTCTTAGCCTGTCGTGATTGATTACTACGAATATCTAACAAATTTTTGCAAAATTTTTATTCCAAGAAACTTTTCGGATAAGAAAATCCGCGGAAGAAAAAATAAATAGACTTAAATCGATATTGATTTTCAAATTATTCGAAAGCCATTATTGTCGGGAAATTTATTAGGTTAGGTAATATCACATTATGCTATTATAACAATCCCGGTGCAACGTGTTATTTATACTCCGTATAAAATATACTCACTTTAGTTTTTGAATTTACTCATTAAATTAGGCTTAAAATAAGAGTAAATCTATAACTGGAGTAATTTCTAAACGTTACACCGGCAAATCTAAATCTTTTTAAAAATTAACTAAAGATAGTGCAATATAAATGATTCAAATTTTAAAGGTTTTTTTATAGAAAGAAAGAAAGAAAGAAAGAAAGAAAGAAAGAAAGAAAGAAAGAAAGAAAGAAAGAAAGAAAGAAAGAAAGAAAGAAAGAAAGAAAGAAAGAAAGAAAGAAAGAAAGAAAGAAAGAAAGAAAGAAAGAAAGAAAGAAAGAAAGAAAGAAAGAAAGAAAGAAAGAAAGAAAGAAAGAAAGAAAGAAAGAAAGAAAGAAAGAAAGAAAGAAAGAAAGAAAGAAAGAAAGAAAGAAAGAAAGAAAGAAAGAAAGAAAGAAAGAAAGAAAGAAAGAAAGAAAGAAAGAAAGAAAGAAAGAAAGAAAGAAAGAAAGAAAGAAAGAAAGAAAGGAAGAAGAAAGGAAAGGAAAGGAAAGGAAAGGAAATTAAAGGAAAGGAAAGGAAAGGAAAGGAAAGGAAAGGAAAGGAAAGGAAAGGAAAGGAAAGGAAAGGAAAGGAAAGGAAAGGAAAGGAAAGGAAAGGAAAGGAAAGGAAAAGGAAAGGAAGGAAAGGAAAGGAAAGGAAAGGAAAGGAAAGGAAAGGAAAGGAAAGGAAAGGAAAGGAAAGGAAAGGAAAGGAAAGGAAAGGAAAGGAAAGGAAAGGAAAGGAAAGGAAAGGAAAGGAAAGGAAAGGAAAGGAAGGAAAGGAAAGGAAGGAAAGGAAAGGAAAGGAAAGGAAAGGAAAGGAAAGGAAAGGAAAGGAAAGGAAAGGAAAGGAAAGGAAAGGAAAGGAAAGGAAAGGAAAGGAAAGGAAAGGAAAGGAAAGGAAAAGGAAAGGAAAGGAAAGGAAAGGAAAAGGAAAGGAAAGGAAAGGAAAGGAAAGGAAAGGAAATAATTTCGGAAAAATAAAACTTCAAAAACCTTTGACACATTTTCCGGCCTCTTCTATGAACCCGGGTGCGCATGCGCATCTCCCGCCAATGCATAGACCGACATTGCATTCGATATCCACTATGCATTGAGCTCGCAATTCTTTCTCTTTTCGGATTTTTATTTAAAATTAATTATTAATAACTTTCATACGAAAATTATTTGGAAATTGATAGAACCAGAGGATCTAGAAATTCCTATATGAGTTAAAGTTTGATTCTGGGTAGTTTTGTTAGACGGCTCTAACCCAATATATCAGCCAGAAGATATTGAGCCACCCTGGAGATTTTTTGCTCGTAGATGGTAGAAAGGTTTGGACATCTATCAACGAAGTCACTAGACTTGCACAACATTTCTTGGGGCCAAAATATTGAGTTTGCCGTTTATTAGAGATCTAACAGTTTAACAACCCACTAGATTTCTGGGATCTCAGTGCACCAATAAATTTTGTGATTCTGCAACAGATATACTATCTGAAAAAAACTAATATATTTAGTTGGAGCAAAGTTATTATAAAAGATTAGAAATGTTTCAATAGTTAAAAGCAAAAACCCTGGCACTAATTAAATTGTATAACTTCTTACTAGTAAAACAGTCGGCGTCCCGTTGAACGAAGCCATCGGGGCAGATACATATTCCGCCAACGCATCGCCCACCTATACACTGACTGTCGCTCCTGCACAGCGCGTTGAAAGAGAATTCTTAAAAATTTAAAACAACTTTTTCACAGTGATTGACATATAGTTTTAAAACTTCTGTAAAATAATTATTTAAAACCGGGTCTGAATCCCGGGTCAGTCCAAATACGGTTTTTTATATGAATTTTAAATAAATCGTCCAGAGGCGAACTATTTTGAACTCCTTCTGGTGAATATTATATATTTACCTATTTCAAAAAAAACAGAACAAATAAGGTTATAATGTAAAGAAAACTATAAATTATATCTATTTGGGACTGATTTGACCGGAATGGCTGACTCACTCGATCTCATCGGATATTTTACCCGCTGGTTAAACGTGTGATTTAAAACTCAACTAATATGGCATTTAACTCCGTCCGAATAGTAGCCGCTCTTGCAGAGGCAGATTTTTAGGTCCCAATGACAGATGGTCAAAGGGTCGAAGACAAAACATTGAAATAGAAACGCGCAGCTTTCGTTTAATTTCTTTCCTTATTTTTGATGAAACAAAAATTGAACACCACGTGACTATCATTATTTATATACATTTATGAATGGCGGCGATTCTTAATTATAATTAAATGAATATTATACTCGGCCATGTTTTTTTTGCCCAGACCCGCCCGTAAAACATATGTCGCTTGCAATTAGGTCCGGTCGGTCTAGGTCCCGCCCGAAAATATCGACGGGTTGTGACCGAACCTCTGCTCACGAATAGCCCTCCCAAGAAATATCCAAAAATTTTATATATTATATACCTGATCTGCAGGAACCGTTATCCCGGAATTGCTTAGCAGGGCACGTGCAGATATTATCTTGACAATTACTCCATTTGCATTCCTGCGCATGATCACAATCGTCATCGAAATTCTTCTCTAAGAACGTTGGAAAAAAAAAACGCTTATAAAATAGAACCTTCTAATTAATAGAAGAAAAAAAAATACAGCTGTTTCCACACCATTTTAGTGGTTCCTGACGGGATATACACTGGAAGCAAACCCTCCTAGAAAACTTTTGCTAACTATCACCCCACCCCCCCCCACTCCCTAACCACACCCCTAAAAATATATATTATTAATTACGCGTTTTATCAATTATAATGTTAAATAGGATAACTTTCAATTATTAGTACATTATTTACGCTTCAACTATCAAAAAAAAGTGGTGAATGTAAAATGGTTATATTTTTTTTTAGGAAACTTGAAATGCCATTTATTATAGTATACATTTTTGGGCACGAACGTGAGTTTGCCTGATAGAATGTCTAAGGCCGCATTCATAGTGGATCCAATCTCACACGATTTAACAGCTGATCGATTTTTAAAATATGTTTATGAGATCAATTTTTTTTTAAAAATAACATTAATACTATCTTTAATTCTATACATGATAATAAGCTAAGAAATATCGGTTTTATTAAAGATAAAATTGATTCTCATAAACCGATTCTGAAAATCGACCAGCTGTTAAATCGTGTCGGATCGGATCCACTATGAATGCGGCCAACACTTTTAAAAAGATAGCAGAAAATTATCCAGAAATAAGGTTTCCTTCGAAAAAAATAATGACTATGGATGGGTGCAGTGTATAGATTTGGATTCATGTTTTAGCAATCTACTTTATAATGAAATGGGGTCTGTAATTTATATTACAAATTATTGCGGCAATATATTATCCAATCAAATCACTCCGAAAAATTTGATAGATGAAACTTTAAATAATTTTACCTTACCCCTCCCTACGGCCCAACATTCCCTTAAAAATATTTGGGTCTAAACTGTTCCTACTCCCCCCCCCTCCCCCGTTCATATAAAACGCTTGGTGGATTCATGTAAAATGTGCTTGAAAATGTACGACTTCTTATTTTCTTGGTCTAAAAAAATCGTATTCTATTTAGACGGCGAAAAGGATGTGGTTGGGAATCAGGAATTTCAGGATTTCCATCTGCAGTATTTTGTCGAGGAATCTACTTAGAATTCTTATGAGGCAGCCTCCCAATATTCCTTTTCAAATAACTAAGAAAAAAAAAGTTATATCGAAAAAAAAAGTAGTATTCATGTATATTACTATCATTATAAACTTGACTGACTAACCTACATATTCTTTTTAGATTTATCTATTGAGGTGTCCAAATTAGAAGAAAAAACTGATACAAAAATAACGGTGATCTATATGTAACGTCGATAAAAGTAACGAAACATTTATTCGATACTTTTTTAGAAATATAACTTGTCGATTTTCACTCGAAAATCAAATTTTTTTAAAAAGCAGCTGACAATATTTAAAATTTAAAATGTATTAATATATATATTTACTTGGTACGCATGCTCCGTTGAAATAAAAATTATCTTTGCAATGACATTTTTTGGATTGGTCGCATAATTTGGTAACGCATTGTTCGTTCCTACTGCAATCCTTCCCGTACTTCAGTTCTTTTAAAAGAAAACAAAATGTTAAAAAAACGCATTCGTTTTTGTAAAGGCCCTTAATTTTTGTCCACGTTTTTTAAACGCCGCGTTTTTTAACCGCGATGATGTTTATCTTGTATCCAGTGGTTGTTAAACGGCCAAATAGCCAAAAATATTACCCGCTAAACCTTGGAGATTCTGGCTTCGTAGATAACGGAAAAGGCTCGGACTGCTTAAACCAAATCTCGAAGCCCGCACAAAAATTTTTTTTGGGGGGGGGGCTAAATTATATGTTAGCGGTTTTTAAAAATATATCGAGCCGTTTAACACCGCTACCACCTAA